TCACCAGCCAAATCAGACCAGTTGACCCCCCTCTTGCTCCCACACTGCTCTCTGGTGGCCCCCCCCCATCAGACCCCCCTTGCCCGCCTCCCTCGCCCCCCCCGCCGCCTCCCTAGCCCAAAAGGTGGAACCAGTTGCTCCCACACTCTCTGTCCCCCCCATCTCCCCCCCTTGCCCGCCTCTTTGGGGGGGGTGGAGGGACCAGGGGGGGAGAGGCCCAACAACATGTGGCGGCCTTAAAAACCTATGGTCGGGTGGGTGGACCTGGGCTAGAAAAAGGGGAGGGGCGAGTCTGGGGACACCAGGATACGCGTGATGTGGGGGCAGAAAGGCAGATAAAAAAAGAAAGTACAAATGCGGGAAATAGTGAGGGAGCCAAGGGAACCTGCTGGGCNNCCGGCCCCAGGGGTCGGCGGATATTCTGTATGTGTACATAGATGGCATGGAAAAGCTTCGTGACAAAGGCCCGCAGAGCTTCGTGTTGGGGAAGATTGCTGCTAGTCATATGCACGGGACAGGAAATGACATGAAAATATGGTCCCTTACCCTTTGCGTGGCAAAGCTTAAGCCATAAACCCGAAGCCCAAAAGATTTAATTCTGAAAGGAAACTCCAGAGCCTCTCAACAGCCAGGCTTGTCTTTGAGCTGGCCACATGCAGAATTCAGGCGCAGTCGGGTTGAGATTTAGGGTCTTCGGGTTTAGGGTGCAATGGCGGAAGCAGCAATGGAAGCTCATGTTATTGTTCTTCTTCTTCTTCGGAATATGAGTAGAAGACTTAGCGCGTCCTTTGTTTTATGTGTTGTGGTCACAGGGTGCCGTGGTAATCGGGAATTCTTTTGACCTCAACCGGCAGATCCTTGTTTGAGAGATTCGGGGTTGCCTGTCCTGGTATTCCTGGCATCTGGACGAACTCCCAGTACAACGACCTGCTGGCCTCATAGCAGTAATAATAGTAATAATAGCAACACGTGCAATAATAATAGCAATAGTAATGATAGTAGTAATAGTACCTGGACCCCAAAAGTATGTAGAATAATGGCCTTTTGGGCTATTATTATGGGTTTAGGGCTATTATTTTACATACTTTGGGGGTTTAGGTAATGATATTGATAATGCTAATACTAGGTAGGGAGGCCAGGCTTTGTCCTGTGCTCTTTAGTAAGTGTAAGTAAGGTAGAAGGAGTCATGGAGAATCACATGCAAAATGAAAAAAGGCAAATGACATGGAAGCCTTACCCCCTTGTAAATTGGTTATAGAGGGGGTTATATACGAGACTACTACAAGGATTACTGAGGGGGATATGAGAGCATGAGCCCTTATAAACCCTAAGCCGCTCAGTCGTTTTCCTTTTGTTGGAGGTGCCAGGCTCAGAGGTGGTTCCCATTGCCCTGGCCGATGCCCTGGATGGCTGCTGCACAGAGGACGCTGCCCTTGAGGGGTTGCGTGGCAACCTCAAGTGCTAGAATACAATTTGGGGGTCCCCATAGGTACTGGTGGCCCACAGGACTTAAATAGAACAGCATTTTGGGCCAAAATCCTATATAGCTACTTTGGGCACACAGGGTCTCCTTGAAGGGGACCTTCTTACAAAGGGAGTGCACGTGCCGTTTACCCCGCGTTTAAGGGTTTAGTGGATGGGGAATTCTGAGCTCCCAGATGTGACCTGTAGACTGTAGTTTTGGGATGTTTGTAGAAGCTGACAAGGATAGTTCAAGATATAGCCCGTGTGGGAATAGAGGCGGAATATCCCAACTTGTAACAGCTCCTTTAGGTGGACCCGCCACCCTGTAATGGTGACTACAAAGGATAATAAGGGTTCTATTAGGGTCCTGTAATATTCCCAATATACCACTATTACAGGGTGG